GATATCTTCCTTGCATTCAAAGCTTCACTTGTTGTTTCGTTCTGCATCTCTTCAAAACTTGGAAATTCAGAAACCGATTTCAACCACCAGTCTTGGTATCTCTTAGTAACAGAACCTCGAGCAAGGCAAGAAGGCATGTAGAGCTTTAGACCGTTAAGAGACTTGTTGTAATCCTCCCAAGCTTCCTTTTCCGTGAAGTTTACATGGCGAGTAATCAAACCAGGAAGATCTTGATTCAAACCGAACTGCATCGCCACTCGATTCGGATAGTAGTTCTCCACAAAACCATTTCCAGCAAGCTGAGAAACTCTAACACATTTAGCAAAAGAAGCAAACTCATGATCAAGACTGTCATCAACAGTCATCAACAGTCACCCACATAGCTTCATCAACATATAACCGAAGCGGATTCCAATTCTTCAAAGGCTTTGTGTAAGGACGCCAATCGAATCCATCAAAACTAAACATCTCATTCTTATATGACCTCTGTTGAAGAGAATCCCATCGAGAAATCCGAGGTTCGCCTTTTGGTATCTCTCTAACATTTGGTCTAGTATTGCTAAATCTCTCCCATATCCACACTTGAACTAACTTAAACAGAGACTTCATATTAACTTTTTTTATCACATTCCTCTACTGCTAAATCACGGATTCGATCCAAATCGCTGTATATACCCGCTAGAACCGCAGGAGCAAGCGCGATCCTTTCACCTCTAGCTAATCGAATAGCGATTGGGATAACATCTGTGGTAATAGAACGACGAGATGTACCTGGAAACACGAAATGTGAAAGCCACAACACAAGAAAAGCTTCATGTTCCAATTCATCACCTCTACCAAAAAACTCATAAATCCAAGAACTCTGACTTGTACGACAATCTCCATTACGATATTGCAGCCTCACTTTCTCCAGTTTCTCCACAGAATCTCTCATTTTTTAGCTCTCTAGAGGAACAAAAACAGGAGAACCCAAAACTGAAAAACCTAAAAGCAACATTACATCTTCTAAAGTAATCGTAGCTTCACCAAAAGGGAAAAGGAACGATTTTGTCTCTGGACACCATTTCTCTGCAACAGAGAGAATCAAGGTTTGGTTTTTAATGATATTGTAAGTCGATGCTTTGATTGCTTCAAAGATTCCAGCTTTCTTCCAAATGTTTCCGTGTAAAGCTTCCATTTTTCCAAGCCAAGAAACAAAATGTGCATCTGAAAACCAAAACCCAGAAAAAGAAATCCTTGAAGACAATCGATTTAGCTGCGTTGAAGAAACAGAGACACGTTGATGACGAAGAGGAAGCTCAGCTACACCATTAATGGAGGTAACACTCGGTTTTAGAAAATGGGTTTTCTTCAAGATGTAACCTTTCTCAGTCACCATGACTTCTTCTCTCTCGTCGATGAGTAGTGATGAAGACGAAGACATGACTTTATCTCTCGGAGAAGACAAGGCAGAAATTAGGATTTAAGGTCAAGATTGGAGACTCAAAGGAATCACTTTGCCAAAAATGGTAAGAAAAAGAAGCGATTTTTGGAGGAAAGTATGGGAAGAGAACAGAACGGAGGAGTTTGCTGTATATGGCAAAGGAGCAAAGTCTCTTTTTCTTAAATTCGTGCTCAAATAAGTTAAATTTTAACTGTACCGCAAAATTGTATGTACAGAGTACAGACTGTATAGTGTATATGTATTTATTTTTGAGTCAATTAGGTGAATAACCAAGTTAGAGTAGGAAATTAGGAAGATGACAATGATAAGACGTAAATGTTAGTTTTACTGTACTTTGTAAGGAGGTTAATTACACTATGCCCCTCGGTTGTTTATTATCTATATTACTCCATAAATTTTTAATAAATATATTCCACATTATATTATTCTCTCTCGGATGCTATCTGGTTTTTGTAAGATATATATGGAAATACTGTCCTATGGGTTTATTTGTAATTAGCTCTAACCTAGATAGCTACTCGTCTGTGTATAAATATGTGTAATCTCTCATCTAATCAGATAACTTATTCTCCCTTTACAGTTTTAACCATTACATACAATACGAGGTTTTTTTTTTAGTCACAACAATACGAGTTTTAGATCGGAAAAGAAAATGAATCCTTTAAAAATTTAAGTCTTTGATTTTTTACTTTACCAACAACAAATATATAAACATTCAGAGAAACCTCAAAACTAGATTTGGCAAAGATGCAACGAAGCTTATAATGATGGCGATAGAGACGGGAAAAAATTGTTTCACTTTGGCCATGACGAAGATCCAGAGAAAACTTTTTCGTTTGAGTTAACTCGGTTGTACCGAATTGACTCACTGAGTTAAGATCAAGCATCGGGTCACTATAATCATTTCATTTCCTTCTAACATTTTGTTTAACGCTATAACTCAATTGTTACATGTTAACATTTTATTTGAGTGTGGTTAATTTATTGTTTAAACTGTTAGTATGTATAGTAGCGGATACAAATTAATTTATCGGTAATATGTATCGACGAATATTTAAGAGACAATTGCAAAAATACCACTTAAGTGTATATTTTCAAAAAAACCATTATGGGTTGTCAATTTGCAAAAATACCACTGATTATTAATTTTGAAACCTAAATCTTAAATTTTTAAACACTAAAAAATGTTTTGACCTCTAACAAACCCTAAACCCTAAAAAATAAACCTTAATATAATATAGTTAACCCAAACATAAATGATAAAATGAGTAAATAATTTTGAAAAAGTGGCATTTTTGCAAAGATTTTTAAAAATGTCATTTTTGAAAAGTGGCATTTCAAAGTGACATTTCTCAAAATTTATCTACATTTACTATTTCATTATCGACTATTATCCTTGTTTTATGTTTAACATTGAGGTTTGCTAGAATGTTGAATGTGTTCAATCGTGAAACATCTAAGGACACGTGTTACCGTTAACTCAAATATTATCCGATATTATATATGTTAAACATTTAACAATTAATTTAGAAGACTAATTTGAAATACAAAGATACAATTTTCTAGTGGGTTTTTTTGGAGAATATGATGACCCACCGCCAAACACCACGAATCTCGCTGAGAAAGCCAAGCACTGTGAACCCCGCATCCCATATTTGTCATGAATGGAATCAAATAACTAGTTATTGGCTATAACATTAGATGTTTAACACTGGTTTTTGCTAGTTATGTTGAATGTGTCCAATCATTAAACATCTACAAACTATGTTATAGCTAAATAATATGTTATCCGATATTTTATAAGTTGTCAGTGTAACAATAGAAATAGAAGATTATTTCGAATATTTTTACCCTCGGAAGCACCGACAGATCTGGTGATCTGGATAGTAGAGTCAGTATCTGAATAATGTAACATATTCAAAGAGTAATCTTAATTGTTAGTGGGCTACAAATTTAAATAACTGGACAATCTATAGTAACTTAGCGGTATTTTTTTAACAACTTACTGAAAAAAGATCAGTAGCCGGATAAAATATAAGTACAACAAATAAATTTTGTTAAAAAATTGGATAATATTATTATTAATATATGGTTAATAAAGTCAGTATCCAAATATTATAATATATTTAAAGAGTTATTTTAATTATATGTAATGCGTATTATTAGATGTTAAATGATTGTARACAATCAACATARTAGCAAAACCCAATGTTAAGCATCTATCAACTGGAATAGCCGATAACAAATTAATTAACTCTTCTTCACCACTACAATCTCATCCTCTGACTCGCTGATGCGGTTCACTAAGTCAACTCGATATCTCCGAATCAATTGTTACGAAAAAATTTCCCAACATTTTTTTGATATTTGTTCTTCTATCTTATCTCCAAGCTGTCTTGGAGACGAGAAATGCACAGTTCATTTCTGGCTATGGAATTCATAGCTTCTGATAAAGAGAGAGAAAGATGAAG